TCAATCAAAGAGCTTTTTGATGGAGACTGTTGCAGGCCAGTCAGCTGGGGCAGTGCCCCTTTAAATGCCACTGACCCTCCTCTGATCAGCACTAGGGAATGGGATGTAATTGAATCACCGTTCAAACGGTTAACCAATATGCATAAGCTTATCGGTTACCATAACGGTTACACACCCGCTCCTGGCCCTGCTCCCAGGGAGCCAGCTGCCACCCCATGCTGTGAGCTCTGTAGTGCCAGGCAGCAGCCAGCTCTCCGGGAGCGAGGCCAGGAGGTGGGAGCCAGTACATGCCAGGAGCCAGCTCAAAAGCCAGCTTCCAGCATGCAGCAGTGCCCAGGGAGCTGGCTACCATCCCATGCTGTGGACCCTGCAGTATAACGCTCCCACTCCCAGGGAGCCAGCTGTGCTGCGGGCTCTACAGGATAGAGCCTTCAGCCTGTAACTACCAAGATTTTCAGAGGTGACATGGTTACTGAATTAACTGCTTTTTAAAATCCCTAATTGGCGCCCCTACCCCACCCTGTTGAGCTCTGGAGCCAGGTCTGCCCCAGCGCCTCCATTGCAGAGCCCACCTCTGGCTGGCTGCCTCATTGGAGGGCTGCGCGGAGATGCTGAAGACCAAGAGAGTCATGGAGAGTCAATGTCCTTCCTGCCCGGACAGTCAGTCCCTTGCACGAGTGGCAGTACGTTGTGCAGCAGGGAAATGAGCTGTGTCTGGAGGTGGCCAGAGGACTAGCTGAGCCGTGCGGAAGGGCACTAGCTTGCTTACCCTTTTCACAACTGACAGCTGGCACCATGGACCTGATCCAAAGCCCAGTGACACTCATGGAAAGCTCCCACTGACCTAGGCGGGGTTCCACTCGGCAGGGCCCGGTGCGGATACAGAATTTCTATCTGCATCCGAGCTGCAGAAATGAGCTGTAGATACCCATGGCTGTAAAGTGACATCCACAGCTTTGCAGGGTCCTGCCAATCAGCTCTATGTGAAGAGGAAACCAGAGGGTGAGCTGCAGATCACAGCCCAGAAGAGCAGAGCTGGGCACATCCGAACACACGGTGCCGTCCTACACAGTTGTCGTCTTTGACACACAGGTCGTTTCCAGGAATGAAAGGTGGGACTCACAGCCCGTCTGTGTAAGACGCAGGTGAACTTGAAGTCTGACCGAAGGGTGACTTGGAAGGAGGGTCAGTTGGGTGTGATGCTTGTTAGTCCCTGAGCAATTATAGACAGTTGCAAAGGGAAAGCTGCTGGCTCTCTTTGCTGGGCTCTGCAGCGGGGCATGTGGGGCTTAGAGGAACCTCAATGAGAGGAAGGGAATTAGGTTTAAAGAGACACTGTCAAGGCTGACAGCCAAAAATAGGACCAGCCCATTGTATGTTCTAATGGTAAGACTGTGTGTGAAATTTACAAGAATCCTCTTCCCTGCAACTGCTGGGAATGGATTGCACTCTGGGGGTGGTTTTCACTCAACCTTACAGCCGCCAAAGTTTGCAGTGGCATCAAAGAGGCTTTGCAAAATCTGTGGAGTTTGGAGATTTGTATTTTTTTAAACATTGACGCTGTCAGCAGGACATTGAAAAGTTTTAATGTTATTTAAAAGTAGGTCAAATCTAAGATCGTAATTGAGGCTAGTTGCTCTCCATAGCGGGCTGGGAACAACACAATATAAACAACAGCACACTGTGGAGAAGCAGCATAATCTTGGGACGGCTTAAGGTGCCTGCTAACTTCATTTGGTAGCAGACAGTTTTAAGGGAGAAAATCTCACTCATTTGCGGGCTAACTCCATTACTTTAGGTGACTGTTAAGGCAACCTTTATAATGCATCCCCCATATGATGAAGGCTTTCGCAGTATCAAAGGCAGATTTAAAATCTCACCCGTCAGTAGGCTGTGGGTTTTGTTGGTTTTTTTTTTTCCCTTTAAATCTCCCTCATTCAAATTGTCACAGCTTGACAGGCCTGTGCCAGGAACACACTGTCATCAAGAAGCTTGTATACTTAATTCCTTCCCTCTGATACTAATAATGCCTTAAGATGATTAAAATTGGAAGAACTTTTGCATCTAATTTGCTTTCCATTGCTTATGCTGTTTGCTGGCTTTTTGCATTTCGCTCAAGTTAGGTAGTGAAATTAGGTCACTTTCCTTTCTTCCTCCTTTCCTTGTGTATGTTTTTAGTTTCCAGTCAGTATTACGTTCAGGCTGAAGGGCAGTCGCTGTATCCTGTAACAAGGAACCCAGTTCAGTTTGGGACCATGCTGTAGTCTTTCTGCCTCCGCACCATGGCCCGTCTGCATCTTCACGCTGCGTGGGACTCGTATCGGTGCATTGTGGGAGCGACTAGGCAGCTCTCCAGTCCTGCTTCAGCAGGGCATAGAGTGCCCGGAAATCCTGCAGGACTGGCCAAGTCCATCATATGGGCGCTGTTAGGGGGTCTGGTCTGTGCCACGTAAGGGCTACATTCCAGCCCAGTTACAGGAAACACCTCTGACTGGGGCAAGGTGCTGTTGGCTGCTAAGTCGGTGTGTGGACGCAAACCTCCTTAGTGTAGCTGGACTGTAGCTTGGGCACCTGGCTGCTGTCAAAAGACCAGATACTGGGCTAAATGGGTAGAATATTTGCAAACCCAATTTCAAGCCACAATTGGAGGAGAGGGGGGAATATTCTCCGGGTGTTTGATTTGGTTTTTTTTGCAAAATCTGATCAGCTGTGGCTCAGTTGGTGCCTGCCTGCTAACGCAGCCACATGCTTCCAGCCATGGTGGTGACCTCCTGACAGGCCAGAAAGAGAATCTGTTGGCAGGTTGTCAGGTAGGCCTGACAGCTCTAGAACTGACCTAGAAACCAGGCTGTGCTGCTGCTTCTTTAACAAAGACTTGCCGAGCACAGCGTGCGCTTTACCTCTGTGAAGTATGTGCATGCCAGGTGTAGCCAACCCATGTCTTTGCTCCACGCTGAGGGGAATGTCCCTGTGAAACTCTGGAGGGTTATTTTTCTTGCACCTGTGGTGCCTTTGGGGTATATTGGCTGCTACCTACCGGAGTCACCACCGCACATCCCAAGAGAAATCGACTGCACCTGTTCTGTTCATTCCCGCTGTGCCACCTGGCTTTGGCCTCTGTCGGAAGATAAGATACGGGGCTAGATGGACCTTTGCTCTGACCCAGTCTAGCTGTTCCTATGTTCTTATCTAATGATCCCTCCTGACCTTACGTACCATGGCCGTGTCTAGATTGGCATGATTTTCCAGAAATGCTCTTAATGGGAAAGTTTTCCATTCAAAGCATTTTCGAAACAGATGCTGTCTACACTGGCCCTTTTGCGCAAAAGTTTTTCGAAAAAAGACTTTTTCCCGAACGGGAGCAGCATAGTATTTCCGCAAAAGCACTGACAATCTTACATGAGCTCGCCAGTGCTTTTGCGGAAATTCAAGCGGCCAGTGTAGACAGCTGGCAAGTTTTTCCGGAAAAGCGGCTGATTTTCCGGAAAAACTGGCCAGTCTAGACACAGCCCATGACTCTTATGTTCCTTTGAAAGCCAGGTTTGTCATGCCAGCCAATCCCTGAAGTGCTAGAAGCCCCACCCATAACAGTGCAAGTTCACGTAGGACCCCCAGAAAAAGCAACTGACAATGAGCAAAAAGCAAAATGGCGCCTCTAGTTACACTGCCCAAGCTGAGCAAAGAGCAGGAAGTAAAAGGCAGAAGGAGGAATCGGTAGAACAGGCCCTTATGTTGTTGCAGTTCTCCTGCCAATGACCCTGTCATAGGAAAAGAGCTTTTTCTCTCCACCTCTGATGGGGCCTCTGAAGCCTTCGTGTTGAGTTAGTGGCAAGGGTTGATTTATGTGTGGCCATAAACCAGACCCCTGGCTCTGCACTGATCGGCTCCCTGTGCCTCTTTTGAGATGCATCAGCTTAGTTTGACAAGGTTCTTGCTGTCAGCCCCATGATGCTGCAGGCCAAAGAAGCTGGATTCTGCCCGGCTTCCAGCATCTTCACTAGAGCTGCAGGCTGAGTCTGGAATGGAAGGTCATTAGCATGAATGATGGGGGCTGGTGAGTTAGGGAAGTTCACAGCGTGGGGAGCAGGCGCCTGGCTCAGCGGCAGTCAGTAATAATAATGCTAATGCTGATCATTTAAAAAACCCTCGTTTTGATTAGGAAACGGAGCAGATTGGCAAATCAATGTGATGGTCCCACGATCCTCTGCTGCTTTCTTTTGTCAGGTTTGGTTTTAATGGAGACATTTTTCCTGCTTCCAGGAGAATGATTCAGTTGTAAGGCCCTGGGCTGGGAGCTGGGGGTTCGAGGCTTTGTTGCACTCAGACATGCTGTGTAACTTTAGTCATGTCATAGCCCTACGCCATGCCTCAGTTTCCCCAGCTACAAAACGTGGATAACAAGTTCGACTACCCAGAGATGTGGTGAGGCTAAGCTAATATTGTGTCAGATCCTTCAGCATCCCTCCCTAGAAGATGCCCGAAAAATGGAAAGTACAGCGTGGAAGCCTGAGTTCTTACTGCGACTTCCGTGTGAATGTTCTTTGAGCAAGGGTTGTTTTAAAGACACCGCTATGTGACCCAGTTAATAACAGGTCAACACATCTTGTATGTGCCTGCACTGCTCTGAGGTGCTCAGAGAGCTATTTGCACTCACCTGCCTTACATTTGCAGAACCCTTTGGGGAAGGGACCGCTGTTTTCTTCCACAGTACATGCAGTCAGTCTTACTAAGTCATCAGGCAGATGTGCGCTGCTTTGTGTGGGCACGGGCTAGGTGCCTGTGTTTGAATGACACCCTCCCCCCCAGCTGTTCAGCCGTTGTCTAGCTTCTGAGTGGGAGGAGAAAAATGCCTCCAGGAGGATGTAGCCCTGAGCCAGAGAAGGGAATGAGAAGGCCTGTTGCATGAGCCGCCATGTCCCAGTTCCTCAGTTGTGAGCCCTTTCCCTCCACTGCCTGCTAGTGATGTCTTCTGTTCATCTCTTTTCTCCCCGATTCTCTAGAAAGATCTGACCAGGGGGATGCCATGACGGCCGGAAGCGTTGAAGCCAGCAGAGCCATGAGAAATCAGGATCGTCCGGAGAAGAAGTCCCTGGGACATGCCCCTCCTTCCCGGAGGCATCGACGCAAGCTGAGGCACAAGCCACCAGCCGAGGTGAGGGTGAAGGGGCAGCTCCGGATGCGCTCAACCTCTGGAGCCTTCGTGATGGTGGGCGTCTCCGTTGTCTTGGTCGGCATGACGATTGCCGTGGTGGGCTACTGGCCACACCAGGGCCCACATGCAGCTGGGCCTTCAGCCAGGCCAGTTAACTCCAGCAGCCCAGGGGACATCAAAAAGCAAGTGAAGGTCTCTGCCCATGCCCGCTACCTCCCTCACAGCGAGAAGCTGAAGCTGATTGGCCCCGTTATCATGGGCGTTGGCCTCTTCATTGTCATCTGTGCCAACACCATGCTGTACGAGAACAGGGACACGGAGACCCGCCTGTTGATGCAGAAAGGCCTGTACTCCATGACCACGGGCCTCCCCCAGGATCTGAGCCATGAGGAGAAGTACTGCCAGAGGACTAGCTTGCCCCACCTCAAGGCCAATGCTGAGTGTGTGGAGGGCTGTTACGAGGTGGATCTCTCCTCCAGCGGCTTCCAATCCTCTTCCAATCCCAGGAACAAGTGGGCTGACTGCTACGGGCCCAGCCGGCTCCAGACAACAGCCCAGCTGCTCCATCACAAGGGAGTTTCTCCCTCCATGTCCCTCCTCAGCGTCCGCTCAGACTCTGGCAACTCCATGGAAGGGAACTTCAATCCGTCCTTCACCCAGGGGAGCGAGTCAATCATTTCCTCAGCCGCTAATGCCTTGTTGCTTCCCGTCATAAAGGTGAATAACTGCCTCGTCGAGAAGCCGGCTGCCTCTCGGAGGGTGAGCGACGAGGGGGGGAGCAGCCTGCCCGGGACGCCAGATGAGGTGCTGCGGCTCTCCTGGTCTCTTCCACCCGGCCACTCCCCCGGAGGCCGTGACCTCCAGGGTGGCCACGTCGTCATTAACATTGACAATGGGCCTCCCTCCCTCGCGGTGGTCGAGACACTCCTGAACCCAGCAGGCAGCGAGGCCGAATGCAGCTTAGACATGCAGCTCCCCAACCCGGGTCACTCCAAGTCGCTGGATCTTGGGAAGCCGGGGGTGCTGCTGGTGGCGCCCATCAAAGAGCGGAAGAACAGGAGCTGGCCTAGACTCGACCACATCAGCCTGGTTGGCTACGCCAAACTGGAGAGCACGGGCGAGTCCTCCGACAGGCTCCTAGAGCCGGCCGAGCCGCAGGGCAGGGGGGAACCCAGCCTCAGCATGCAGGAGGTGGGAGCAGAATTGGGCTCACGAGTCTGACTTGGCAGGGGATGGGCGACGCAGCCAGGCTGCCTGTCCGGCCATTGCTCGCTTGGCGGACTGCTGGGCAGGTGGTTCTTTGAACAGCTGCTCCAGTGAGGAGGGGGGAGGTCAGTGCTGCTGACTGAGCCTAGTACCGGCCTGATCCCCCTTCAGGGAGACGCTTCAGGTCTCCCCTCCCCAGAGCCCCCTGGGGCTGAGTCACTGCTCCAGTTCTCAGTGGGCGGGCGTGGCCTGACCTCGCGCCCCCGCTCCCCAGGCTACGTGGGGAAGCCGGGCTTAGCCACTGAAGAGAGGTGGGTGGGGATCCCCCTACAACGCTGCAGGGGCCCCTTTCCTCATTGCTCACTGGAAGGGCAGCAGCAGTAGGTGGACGAGGGCGCCACGCTGCTAGGCCCCTGGTCAGTAGCAGGGTTATTGAATGTTCCCTCGCCACCCTGAGGGGCTGTCAGTCATTTTGTACGATGTTTTAGCAACGGCCTTTGCAAAGCTCCCGTCTCCTGCAGCAAGTTCCATTTGCCACTGGCCGGCAGGCAGGATCTCCGCTGGGTGGGTTTCATTGAGCCCAGAACCTGGCTGAACACAAGGAAGCAACGGGGGCATTTCCCTATGTCTGGATGGGGCTCCCCTGGCCCAGGGCAGGCCCGCGCTGCAGTCGGGGCATGATTGCTACTCAGACAGGCACACCCCTGCTAGCTGTAATGTAGCTAAAACTAGCAGTGAGCCTGCAGCTGCACAGACCTCACCAGGGGGGCTAGGAACATGAGCAGCGCCTGGGGTCAGGGTGGGTTTTATGCAGCCTGTACTGCTGTGTCCTTGTTAGCTCGAGTAAAGCTACCCTGCACGTGCCTCTTGGTCACAAATCATTGCTACTCAGACAGGCACACCCCTGCTAGCTGTAATGTAGCTAAAACTAGCAGTGAGCCTGCAGCTGCACAGACCTCACCAGGGGGGCTAGGAACATGAGCAGCGCCTGGGGTCAGGGTGGGTTTTATGCAGCCTGTACTGCTGTGTCCTTGTTAGCTCGAGTAAAGCTACCCTGCACGTGCCTCTTGGTCACAAATCCGTATCTGCTGGCACTCGGGGGGCGCACGTACGCCGGCTCGGAATGTGGCCCTAGAGCTGTGTGAGGACAGGGAAGGGGGAGAATTTTTTTCCTGGGAAATGTTCATCATTTAATTTTGACCAGTTCCCGTCCCCTTTTGCCTCGGCTGTTGTGTCTCTTCACCTAGCGCCTCCGCAAAGCTGCTCTCTGGGTGGGAGGAGGAGAGTGTCGGCGCCTTTTCACAAACATGCAGCACACGTTGTCCTTTGGCTGGATGTTCTCCCTGCGGGCGGGGCCCTGGCCCCCAGCCCTTTGCCCAGGAAAAAGGAGGCTGGGGAGAAGGGTGGTGACCTCCACCTGAGTATTTCAAGCGTACGCGGACGTGAGCCAGGATGTGAAGGCAGATCCCGCGCAGGCACCAGGCTAGCCAGGCCCGGGTGGTGGCTTAGGCAGCTGCAGCAGGTTGGTTTGTAACTAGAGATAAAGGGGAACCTGGATCCGAGCCCTAGTTTGGTTGGTCGGTTTGTGCAAAACCAGCCACAAGTGAAGTTTTGCAAACTCCAAACTGTGCTCCCGCTGCCCCAGCACAGTTCAGGGCAGGGTCCAGTGTGTGGCAGGCGCATTCTCCAGCCTTGTGGCTAGCAGGTCTGGACGGGCTAGGCCCACACCCATTCCGGCACCAGCGCTGTGGTCCGACGAGGTAGAAATTAAAGGCTCAAGATTTGTTTCTTTTGTAGATCACAGCCAGGCATGCTGCCCTTGCAGATAGGCTAGGCTAGTGACTCCAGTGGGGCATGGGGAGCTCGCTGGGTTCAGGTTCTGTCCATCACTGATACAAAACCCCAGAGTGATAGCACAGTCCCTGGGGGTATTTATGGGTTTGTGTAACAGCGGGTCAGGGGGGCAGGCAGGTGGAGGTGGGTGGGGTATTGGGCACAGCAGGAGCGGAGACCTCTCAGTGAAGGGATTCTTAGGGGGGGAAGTTTTGCACCCGAAGGCAAAGTCTTGAGTGTTTTGGGCAGACGCTGGATTTGCCTGAGCTCTGGGCGTTGGCCACAGCGCTGGGCTGCCTCGGCCGAGGAACGGCAGTAGCGCGGCAGGAGGCTGCACTTTCAAAGGGCAGCATCCCCTGTGCCAAGCACAGCTCTTCCTGCGCGCCAAGCACCACGTGGAGCGTGCCCGCACCGGGTCAGTGAGCGAGGTGCAGGCTTCCTGCCCCGACACCCGCGCCGGGGGGTGGAACAAGAATACTCTGGCCACGTAAAAGAGTCGCACGCTCCAACCTCCTCTCCCACTGCCTGGGCGACTCCTGCAGGCATGTGACTTGGGTCATTGCAGAACTAGGCAACTTACGAACCCAGCGGGGCCAGATTAAAAAGGGGCTGTAGGGGCTGCAGCCCCCAAAATATCTCCAGGCTGTCAAACGTGCAGCTCTTTGGGGGCCCCGGTTTGCAGCCACTAAACCCCCGTGCTCTGGCCCTGCCTGGTGGGGTGTGGAAGCGGAGCCACGTGCTATTCCTCCCGTCCCCGCTGGGCGGCAGCTGCAAGCTCCTGGATCTTTGCTCCTGGTTCCCTTGCCTGCAGGCTCGGCCCCCGCAGCTCCCAATATCTCCAGGCTGTCAAACGTGCAGCTCTTTGGGGGCCCCGGTTTGCAGCCACTAAACCCCCGTGCTCTGGCCCTGCCTGGTGGGGTGTGGAAGCGGAGCCACGTGCTATTCCTCCCGTCCCCGCTGGGCGGCAGCTGCAAGCTCCTGGATCTTTGCTCCTGGTTCCCTTGCCTGCAGGCTCGGCCCCCGCAGCTCCCATGGACCAGG